TTCCCAAGATTATTTCCCCAGCCTAGAATGTGCCTTCCCATATTAGCACTCTAGAGAAGGAAATTTCAGAACATCACTTCCATATTAATCTCCTAAAAGCACAGTGCTTCAGTGGTGTGCAAACACAGCCACAGACACGCCCAAGGGAAGATACAGCCACGTTCCTTCCCTGGCAGATTCCAACAGAGTCAGCTGCAGTGGAGCACTGGTCACTGACTGCAGCATGCAGCTGCAGTGGAGCACTGGGTGGAGCACTGGTCACTGACTGACTGCAGCATGCAGCTGCAGTGGAGCACTGGTCACTGACTGCAGCATGCAGCTGCAGTGGAGCACTGGGTGGAGCACTGGTCACTGACTGACTGCAGCATGCAGCTGCAGTGGAGCACTGGTCACTGACTGCAGCATGCAGCTGCAGTGGAGCACTGGTCACTGACTGACTGCAGCATGCAGCTGCAGTGGAGCACTGGTCACTGACTGCAGCATGCAGCTGCAGTGGAGCACTGGTCACTGACTGACTGCAGCATGCAGCTGCAGTGGAGCACAGGTCACTGACTGCAGCATGCAGCTGCAGTGGAGCACTGGTCACTGACTGACTGCAGCATGCAGCTGCAGTGGAGCACAGGTCACTCACTGCAGCATGCAGCATCTGCACAGCCCAAACAATCATTTCAAACAGGTCTCTGCTCTTCTAACACCTTCCAGTTTCATCACCAGACACAATATGGACTTCTCACAATACCTGTACTTCTGATGACTTCAAGCATTGCATTAACCTCTCTACAAATCACCTTTAGGTTACAGATCTCCTCAAGCTTTATGTTTACAACTTAACATTCCAGTCTGAATTTATCATCCCTCAGCTTGACAATTATTTCTCTTTACAACTTACAAAGGAGCAGTCAAGGGGCTCATGTACCAAGCACAGAAGTGGATCCAGATTCCTACTCACTCACTTTGAAAAAGCCAGCTCCAAAAGCAATTCTTTGGAAGCTGCTTTTCCTCTGTTGTTTCCTGCACATCACAGGGTGCCACAGAGTTTGCAGTGTGATTATTAGCACTGTAGCCCTGATTCCAAACAACTACATCCCACGTACCACAGACAAACCTCTCATTGGCAGCAGGAATCTCAGTTTGATGAGAAAATAAACAGGAGTGGGAACCAAAGGAGAAGCCAAATCTTCTCTCAAAGACTCCTGTCACCTTCTTAACACTCCTAATGCTCCAGAAGTCTCCCTGCCACAGGAGTACTACCATGCCCAAGTAAGGAAGGTGGCAAGAAGTTAGAATTTAATCTGGCTATTGCTGTAAAAACCAAGGTTTCTATAAACACATCAGGAACAAAAGGAGGGCTAAGGACAATCACCATCCTTCACTGGATGCAGGGGGACACAGAGTGACAAGCAAAGAGGAACAGTCTGAGGTACTTCTCTGGCTGAGTCCTCAGCAGCAGGACCAGCTGTTTTCCAGGCACCCAAGCCCCTGAAGCTGAGCACAGGGATGGGAGCAGAATGAATCCCCCCAGCCCAAAATGAAATGTTCAGTGACAGCTCCCCCACCTAAGACTCACACCAGTCCCTGTGCCAGAGCGGTCTGCTGGAGGGAAGGAAGGCTCCACACAGGGATCTGGATCAATTAACAGCTCTGGGAGCTGAAGCATGCCCCAAGACCTGAAACACAAGGCAGCCCAGGTGACTTTCCACTTTCATTCTATGTAACCCTACTGAGCTCTTGCTCAGAGCATTTTTAATGCTGCTGAATACCCTGCAGGAAAGGGAGGAACAGACAGCACTACACTCACAGGGCCCAGCTTCACATGTTGCTTCTTATCTGTAGCCATTTCCTTTTTTTCCCCCTGACAGGAGTTTTAAAGAACTGTGAGCAAGCATTTTGTAAAGATCATGCTGTCTGAGGCATTCATGAGAAATACGAAGACTTGCACAGTAAATCTACAAGCACGACATGAGGAGGAAAAAGGCAGCTAAAACATGTTGGCTCTGAAACTGATTAGGGACAGACAGACTGCCAATGCTCTTTGAATGAAATTCTCCAAACTTGTTACTTTCCTGCTGCTCTCTTCTGATCAATAGATTTAAGCAATACCATTAGTCTGTTAATTCACTTAATTAAATAATATTGAGCATCACTAACCATAATGGATGAGCTGCTAACACAGCTCTGAATCAGAGAGTGCAATACAGAAGACAGTCCTTTGTCTGGCCACATTTTTCAGAACTCAGTTGTTTTTTCAGAGACTCCAAACTCTTTAAGCATGGAAACTCAGACAGAGATAGGTAATTAGATAGGTAATTATTTAAACTGTCCCCTGTTTAAAAAAATTATATTTAAGGAAGGAAAACCTTTCTTTATGGTGTGATGTATTTTATTTTTTCAGTGAACTCCAAAAGGATCTTCCTGTTTGCACTGCACCCTCAGAGCCTTATAGGATTGTGAATTCCACAAGTGGCCAGGAGTGTTCTGTGCCAGAATGTGAGCAGTCACTGAGGGTTTGTAAGCATTATTTACACACACATTTATTCACTTTTTGCTCAGGGACAATCTGATAGAATTCATTACACAGCCAAAATTCTCTCCACTTCACCAGCAAAACTTCTAAAAAAAGCTTATTTCCTGTTCACAAAGCTGTGGTTTTGAACATTCAGTTTGAAATTCCTCCCAGTATTACCAAATCCTTTCAAACTTACTTACCTGTTATTTCTAGTTTAGAAAAGTTACATTTCAGTATTTTTGTGAGAATTTTCAGAATTGCACACTGTTTAATACGAAGACTTGATTACACAGAATTCAAACCCAGTCCTAAGTCTAAGCAGAATGTTCAGAAAACAACATTGTTAGAGACTACATAAACTGGAAGGACACAGCTGAGGTTCTTCTTTTTTTCCTAGATATTCATCAACAGGCAGATGTGACAGGTAACAGTAGGTGAGGCTTTCTATGACAGCCAGTCACACTGTCTTTGTTTTCCTTCTACTTTTATTGCCAGGTTACTGAGGAAATTAAAGTTTAATGACCCAGAGTGTATTCTGTCAGTAGAAAAAGCTATAGTTTTAAACATCAGTGCTGGAATTAACTAATTTTAGGGAGTGAACAAGACTAAAAGCTTTCAGCACTCTTTAATAAATGAGTTTGAAAAATATTAGATACTTGAATATGTAATTCCCCATTAAATACATTCATATTGAGCTCATAAGATCTCAAGATCTTATGAAGATCTTATAAGATGTCACTAATACTGTACAGCATTCTTTCATGATGCTGAACCAACTTCTTTCATTTTATACATGCAAATAAAGAAAAGGGCCTTGATTAGAATTTTTATGCCTTTTATTCTACTATTACTTTTTTTTTTAATTTTTCAAATCAATTTTGTCTACCCCATAAAAATTGCAGTGCTCAGAGACATGGAAATAAAGAGCAATGAAATTTCCCATCTCTTAAATGATAACAGCTGTAACACCCCTGTCTGAAGAACAGAGTAATATCATAGAAGTATTAAGGCTTTAGAACAAGTGCAAAGAAAAACATCTGAAGACTTTTAAGGAGCTGATTTTCAAGGCATATGAACTTGAAAAACCCAAGAATATTACAGCTGATACAGCAAAGACAAGGTCTACTCTGACACTGTGGGAATACAAAGTCTTCTTGTGGGAGCAATTCCATGCTGAAGAAAAACTGAATTCCCAAGGGAGTTTTAAAGTATAATGATTACAGATAAACACTTAGAATAGAACCATGTTGAAATTCATTACAATATTTAATTGCCTTTAAATCTGGCTTAGTTAGCTGTGACCAAAAGTTGTTAGAAACTGAGGGATGTTCAATAGCATATGATAAAATTACATTAAGTCAATTTCCTAATTAGATGCCAACATAAAAGACACCATTACAGCTAATACCACTGTTGGCAAGTTCAACAGCCAGAGCAGAGACTAAATAGATATGGAAAATATAACACACTCTCCTCTAACAACCAGGGTGAATCTTTTTGCACTGGCTTCACTGAGAGTGTTTTACCACACTAATTTATTCTAAGGGTTCTTTTACAAATTCAGTTCTCCTTCCTATTAAGAGGAAATATGGAAGAAGATGGCAATTTAATGGCCCTCTGCAGTGCTGGAGTTGTTCCTGAATGATGCTCAGCATTCTTTCCCCATTTTCAGTTATTTTTTGTTTTCATTTTCAGATGGAAAACATGAAGTCAATTAGACAGCCATTTAGAAATACTGAAACTCTAGTAAGGAAAACCATCTAAATTTAGCTCTCTCATGTAAAACATACTCAAATACATCTCAGAAGAGAGCATCTGGGATTATGAAAATAAACATTAAAAATGTAATAGATTACCATGAAAAATATCATAATTTAAGAACATTTTCCATAAGCAGTGCAAAAGACATAGGCCATTCCTGTTACAGCTGACAAATTTAAACATACAGAACAACACAGAAGCTTCTGCAAGGCAGTGTTAATTTAGCCTGTGGTGCATCTCCAGCAGTGGAGATTTTTCAAGCCCAGTATTGAAACCCACACAACACTGTTTTATTATTAAATACTTTTCCTAGTCTGATTTGGAGCCAAATTTTCATTCTCTCATCTTCATCAAACTGAACTTGCTTCAACATGGTCCTCTTAAGTCACTGTGCTCTCTCGTGGCACGAGGCATTATGAGAGGTGGCACTGATTACTCACCTCTGCCCTGAAATATTAGGAAGTGAACAGAAATTTGTGGTTTTATCAGTCTCTTACACATTACTGAAAGTATTAGTGGAAAAAAAGGAACCAAAAACAGATCAAATATGCTGAGCTGCATGTAGATGAGTTTTTCTGGTCCATTCACAAATCTCATCTAGAATCCACACTTGCCCCAGCTGCTCCGTGCATGAGAGCTGCAAGGCTCAAGTACACAAAGTTTCCATGCCTGCAGAGCCCTGAGCAGAGCCAGCTGTGGCTCACAGGAGCTGAGGAGAGCAGGGATTACTCACCACAGTCAGGTGCTGCAGCAGATAGGCCACATCCACCATGTCGGCCAGAACCAGGAGCCGGGTGACCGCGGCCAGCAGGGAGCGAGCGGCGGGCACCACCGCCTGCCTCCGGGGCAGGGAGCAGGGATCGCTGGTGAACGCCTCTGCCGACACCTGCAGGGCCCGACCTGAAAACGAGACACAGCCTCAGGCTGGAGCACAGCACCCCGAGGAAAGGAAATCACGGAATTCCGGCAGTTATTTGGCGAGTCACGTGAGATGCAAAGCTGTGTTTGGTGTCAGGTACAAACAGGCAATGTGTGTAGTTGTGAATGCGAAATGTGTGGACCCCGACAATTGGGAGAGCTGTGAATTCTAATAATAACTGAGGAGAATAAAGCATGGAAAAAGGCCTTTGAACCCATCTTTTGTTTGCAAATTAACCCTAGTTGATTTAGGAGCATTGGAATTAAGGTGTTAAAGATGTTGCTTTTTGCTTGCATTTAATCCATTAAAAGCTCTGCAATAATAACCTTTTGAAGTATAATTTCAGAATATTACTTGTATCCTTGAAACTGTAGCTTTGGAATATATATAAAGGAAATATGCTTATCTCACGCCTTATTGAAGCAGAGAAAAACACCCTGAGAAAGGAAGATGAACATCACCTCAAGGGTTTATGGTTCCGACCAAAGGGAAGCTGGACATCACTGTTATGAGATTTATAGTCTCTGCAATTAAAAGGTGGACACACATCTGGGGAGCTGGACCCCACCAGATGGGATTTGTCTTTCTTCTTTTGGAAACTGGACCATCACCATCTGGGGATACTCCTTTGAGATACGTCCTGAGAAATTAAAATCACAATAGTGTATAGAATTGTGATGTAATCATTTGGAATAAAAATTGCTGATGAGTAAAAAATTGGAAATAGAAACTGCTGAAAAAAACTGATGAGTACCCCTATAAATACCTGTAACCATCAATTATCAGTGTGCAGTTGGAGGGAAAGCTTCCCCCACTGTACCCAGCGCTGTATTGCTCACACTTTACCATATTAATTAATAAATTGATTGCTGCTTGAATACTGGCCTAGTCAAGCTTCTCATTCATAACAGTCACAAGTACTGCCAATAAATCTGCTATCTCTTTCTTGCCCTAACGCCTTGAAATGAAGGTCAGTGATTACAGATCATACAGGTTAATGTTCCACATCCTCCGTTCTCTTTCCCTTTTCTACAGCACCATTTTATTCTGAAATAACTCCCTTGGCCTTCACACAATTACTCCTAACTGTACACAACAAAGCCAGCAGCTTTGTTAAACTTTCCTAGTCACTACTTGTTACGTTACTGTGTACTTTGGTGTCCTTGCTATTAAATAATTCTGGTCACAGAAAGGAATCAAATATTGCTCTTCTCATTACAAATATAAGTTAATGGAATGAAAACCTCATACACTCAAACATCTGACTGACATAAAGGGAAATCTGTGCCATGGAGCTAGTGACTGCCAGTCACAATATACTGCTCTCCAATGAGAAGTTTGGTAAATGAAATTCAACAACACAGACCACAGTGACAAACACCATAAATTCCTGCAGGGAGGTGAAAAGGAGATGGAGCCAGACTGCTCACAGTGGTGCTCAGCAGCAGGGGGGGAAGCAATGGGCACAAACTGACACACAGGAGATTCCATGTTGGCATCAGAAAATATTTTTTCACTGCGAGAGTGACTCAGCAGTGCACAGGCCAAGCAGGAAGGCTGTGGGGTCCCCATCCTGGGAGATGTTAAACACCTGACTGGACATGGTCCTGGGCAGACTGCTGGCCCTGCCTGCCCTGGGGCACTGGACCAGACCACCCTCAGAGGTCCCTTCCACCCCTCAACATTCTCAATTCTGTGAGCAAACACAAATCAGAAGGCTCTGAATACAAGCCCTTAGAAATGAGCATGACATGAGCTGGGATGGCCAGATGAACACATAAAATCACAACCCTAAAATAGAGCCATGAGATGCAGGCTAGACAGATAGGAGCTGCAAGTACAAACAGCAGAAAATGACAGCTCCAAAAACAACACAATGTTGAAACTTTCTTAAATTGCAGTGGACAGCATGACAATCTGATGCAATTTAATCTATTTTTATTTTAATTCCCATCAACTGGATATTCTTCCATAATTATATTTGTCACAAACAATGAAACGCAAAAAATGTCTTTTTAGTGGCACAAATAGGAATTCAGACAGACAGCAGCATTCAAAGTATTTCAATTCTTTTAGACAACCAAACAAAAAGCAATTCAAAGAAGCAAAGCCAGGATCTATCATAACTGCACAATTACTGTCAGGCAGATATTTCCAAGACTCTGTTCAACACACCCAGATAAGATGACTCCCAAAGTAAATGTTGCTCTACCATCAGCTGATCAGCTACTGACAGCTACTGCTGTGGCAAATACTGTTACTTACATGCGCCTACAAAAATCTGGCACAGGGAAATGTAAAAAACACTGTTCAGCCACAGGTAGTTTTTTTAAATAGTTAGAGAATTTATCCAGCACCAAAAATACCCAAAACCTTACGTGAAAATTCCTTTAAAAACAAGTGAACTGTGAGCCTGTTGGCAATCAGCTGACAGCTCATGCAGGCTGTGTCTGCACAGACACTGCAACAGTGCCACCAAGTGCAGGCAGTGAGCACCCTCAGAGACACTGCTCAGCATCACTGACAACAGCCAAGGGCTCCTCACTGGCTCAGGCAAGATCAACAAAGTTATGCTTTCTTCTTTTATTTATTTGAATGGATTTTTGTTCTCCTATTGAAATCCCATCCAAGTATCACATTTTCCTCTCTTCTATTTGTATTTACAACTGGCTTTCTCATCTCATTTGTTAATTTAACTGCAGCAGTGTGAAATGCACATGGAATGCAGTGAATTGTATGCCATTCTTGGGCCCTCCCACAAGGAGTTGCTGTTGCCAAGACAGTCCTGTCACCCACTCCTGAACTGCCCCGTTAGAGGCTGGTGGCTTCACAGCTCCAGAGAAACACAGTGACAACAGGAGCCCATTTACTAATGGGGGAACAGACAGACCAAAGTTAGTAGAAATAATTTCCAACATTTCAGTCTCAAACTTGAGAGAACAGAACTTCAAACAAACAAGAAAACACCCACAATGGTTTACAATCCAGAATCCTAGAGTGCTTTAGGTTGGAAGGGAACTAAAAGATTATCTGGTTCCAATCCCCCTGCCATGGGCAGGGACACCTCCCACCAGCCCAGGCTGCTGCAAGCCCCATCCAAGCTGGCCTTGGACGCTTGCAGGGATGGGGCAGCCACAGCTCCTCTGGGCACCCTGTGCCAGGGCCTCACCATTTTCATGGTGAAGAATTTCTTCCTAGCATCTAATCGAAAACACCCTCAGTCAATTTAAAGCCTTTCCCACTGTGGAAAGTCCCTCTCCAGACCTCTTGTAGGCTCCCCCTGGGTTCTGGGAGGCTCCAGTAATGTCTCTCCAGAGCTTCTCCTCAGCCTGAACAAGCTCAGCTCTCTCAGCCTGCCCTAACAGGAGAGGTGCTCAATTCTGCTGAGCATCTCTGCAGCCTCCTCTGGACTGGCTGCCACAGCTCCATGTCCTTCTCATGCTGAGGGCCCCAGAGCTGAACACAGTGTGCCACAGGGGGTCTCACCAGTAACAGAACACTTATGGCTCTTGCTGCCACTAGTATGTGCAGCCTCAAATCCTGCAGCCATGAACTAACACATTGAGCAGAGTGAGTACCAGAGAAGCTTCGGAGTCAAGGTCACAGCACAGCACAGAACAACCTACCCTTTCTAAAAACAAGATGAAACAATCCAAGTCACCAGCACAATCACCTGTTCTGTTCCTACAAATACCATCCCCATCTGCTACAGCAAATGAAAGGATTCTGCTCCAGGCAGGCAGCTGCAGTGACACTATCAGTGTCAGGGCACAGCAGATCGATACCTCCTGCATGTGCCCAATATTCAACACTGTGGTAACTCAGATTCTCACAAGAGCTTTCTGGAGCTGTTCCAGGACATTTCTCTCCTGCCACACAGTCTCTTATCCCACTCAGATACCACTGGATTCTGTTGCATAGCAACTGTTTCACCACTGCATATCAGGAAGTTCCACTTCCACATCTCATCCATTTCTTGCTATCATGTAATCAGAGCCACCACACATGCCCACCATGCCTCACACCCACCTCCTCATTCTCCCTGTCCCACTCAAGGGCACCTGATCCTGTGATGCTGATGTCCAAAGCTGCTCGGCAGGGGATCTGGTCTGGGTCTGATGAAAGGAGTGTACAGCACAGACCATTTCAAGCCATTTAAGTTCTGCCTCCCAGAACAGAAGTCCCTTAGATGCAGAATACAGGCACAAACCTCTTCATGTAGAATGAGAAAGTTAAGTTTACTTTTAAGATGAGAGGAGGGACAAACAAGAACACAGTGTAATACAGAAGATCCCTATACCCTTCCTTTAGTAAATGCCCTTCTAAGTAAGCATCCATTTCTTGCCAGGAAATGGGAGTGTCTTCCATGCCATCAAACTCTTGCCTCCCCTGTTTAGTATCAAAAGACATTAAATATGGCCATTCAAAACATCAAAGTATTTGTCAGAATTTCCTTTTAAAGAGTAACTTAAGGATCAAAATGTAACTCCAGCAAGTAACTTGCTTTCAATTCACTGCTCTGTGTGATGACAGGTTTATCTGGGAACACACTTGAGCATGATAACAGCTAAACACAAGGAACACTGCCACTGCAATAGATAGAAACAAGGCAGACAACAACTGTTGTGTTTCTGACTATATATAGTCAGTCAGCAATGGCAGTAAATACCAAACATTTCAGTTATGCCCATGCAACTGTTTGAGAACTGCAAGCCATCACACCTTCACATAAATGCAAAAACTCATCCTCCTAAGGATAACCTCAGACTTCATTCAGACTTCTGCAGCAGCATTTCACCACATGAACAGCATCACTGCTTGCCTTCAAACCGGTTAAATCTCAGAACCAGGACATGAATTTGAGACTGATATTTAGTGCCAGGAGCACTCAAGGTTGAACAATGCTCCTTATACTCTTTGCACAGGGCTCAGGGATTGCACAGAACATTGAATTAGAAGACAATCTTTTGAAATGCTGCACATACATGAAATCCCTCAGTGAGAGTTTTTCAATACACTTACTTGGGGGTTTATTACACTATTTTAGAATAAAACTCTGGACATATGTAGCCTATAACAAACCTTCACTAAATCAGATCAACAAAAATCATGGCAGTTCTTCAGTTACCAGGCCAGTGGAGTTCTGGATGATGCATACAGCCCACCCATAAACCTTCCTGCTGACCCATTCAGCAGAGTTCCAGAAGATGTTATCAAGATGTGGGCAGGCCTTAAAAAGTACTTTCTTTTTAAGAAAAGAAAAATGCAGAGAACATCTATTTAAATTAAGCTCCAAGCCTATAAATCTTTGATAAAACTTTGCAGATGTCAAAGGAAGCAGACACTGTATTTATCCAGGTAACATTATAGTAACACCTCCTTTCAGAGGTCACTTACAGAATCCAACTGAATTTGAGACTCCAAAATCTCATCTACTGACAGTGCCAAGAGCAAGCTGCAGTCAGTGAAGCATATCCGTGCCACCATGATTTCTGAAGGCCATGAATTACACACAGATGAATTAGATACACCAAACATTACCCCCACTCTTCATTTTTATCCCACTCATTTGCTCCTTTATTCTCCAAAGCATCATTGTAAATAGGAATATCAGAAGCAGACTGAAAAAAGTCAAGCGCTCCTTTAAAAGGAGCCCCAGATTAATGGGCTCCAAAAGTAATGAAGGATTGTTCACACTGGCAATTGACACTCAAAAGGAATAAGTGTTTAATGCTCATGATGCATCCCCAACTGAACAAGTTCAGCAGATGACACAAGGTAAAGCACAAGAGGAGGTGAAACAGAATTTATCCTTTCCAGATCTCAGTGTGCAAATCTGAGTTTGGTTGATGTGAGTGAAATTATCTAAAGCATTTCTTCAAAATTCCATTATCCAGGAAATACAAGCTGTAGCCACGTGCAAAACTTCGTAATTAGTTGAAGACTGCATTAATAAAAGTCCCTGCCAGTCAGCACAGTCACACAGGTAAATATGTGTGCTGTGCCATGCATGGCAGGCACCCCATGCAGCCATGGCTGATGATGACCCACATCCCCTCAGAGAGCCTGAGGTCAATAACAGCAGACATTGAACAGCAGCACAATGTGGCCTGAGGAACAGGCACTCCAGTTACACATGATGTGGCATACCACAAATTAAAAATAGCACACAGCTTCAAAGGTTAAAAATACCTGCAAAATTGAAAAACTGCTACCTTTTTCACAATTGTTTCAACAATTTCTTAAAACTAACCTCAGCAGTTTGGCAAATCCTTGAAGGGATATCGGCTGCAACCACTCACTTCATCATTCCATAATGATAGGTGATAACATGGACTTAACTTTCTTTTAAAATGTATGAGGTATATATAACCTACTTTATGTATTATTTATTTTTGTAGTTACCTCTGGTCTTGTCTGAGAATCAATAAGTAATAAAAAAAATATTTCACATTTTCAGTTTCTCTATGTATAAAAATCAATAGCAAACTATATATTTCATTCTTACCTTGTGTTATCAGCCTGTAATGGATGGGCTAACATTTTAAGAGTACTCCAAAATGAATGATTCTGCAAGAGCCTCAGCTGCTCAGTGTGACAGATAACAGTGATACTTGCTGGTCATAAGGCTTTTAATCACAAAGGACCTCAAGGTATCTCAGACACCATCTGCATAGATCAAGCTCTAAACCACAGCCATCTCCACATTCAGAGGAAGCCAAAAGCAACTCATCACTGCCCTGAACAGCAGCAGAGACTCAGAAACCAGCCCAGCTGCATGTGCAAGGTGAACAAATAAAATAAATTTAAATTTAAAGAAAAACCTGACTAAGTTCCATCTTTAGTTAGGGCAGGATGATATAATTAAAACATAAATGAACTTTACCTTGTGATCTCTGCAGGAACACATTAAGGATGTTGGTCATGCGACTCATGGCCTTCGTGCTCACCCAAATATTCCCAGTTTCCATGGGGAAAAGTAAAACTCAAGAAAACAACAAAGAACCTGCAGGAAAATGGCTACAACATTCTCTGCAGATCACAAAAACTAGCCTAGTTCTGGGGATCAGGTTCAAAACTGAGAGATTAAGTCAGGAGGACACAGAATATGCCAAAACTCACCTGAGAGGAGCTGCTCTGTCAGCAGGGGATGACTCTCATGGTAGGATAGAGGATCCATCCTCCTCCTACTCCCAAAACACACCTTCACACTGGACTATTGTACCTCCCCAATGAAATCCTTAATAATGCACTAAAGAGGAAAGATTTAAGAGGCCTTAATCTGAGATTCAGGTAAACAGTACCTTTCAAGAAGTTAAAATATACATTAACTTTTTGTCGCCAACATTTTTTCATAAAAATCCTCTCTTTAGGATTTTTTCTCTTCTGGGAAGCTCAGGCCCCAGAAAGAGAATGTCAGCAATGGTTCTCTGCTGCTGTGGAATGCAACAGGTGCAGCTGTGATTGGTCTTCTTTGAGTGTTTGGATTTGCTGACCACTCACAGGAGAGCTTTCTTGCTTTCTGCCTGGACACAGAACTTTGTGGATTCCTAATCCTATTCTATTCTTAGCTTAGCAGCTTCTGAACTTTCCTCTCTATTCCTATTAGTATAGTCATAATGTAACTTATATAATAAATTAATAAATCCAGCCTTCTGATCATGAAGCAAGATTCTCGTCTATCTCTCTCACCCTGAGAAACCCTTGTAAAGCCATGCAACAACTTTTAGTCATGCTTAACAGCCACTAAAATGATCAAGAGGCATCCTCTCCTCATGAAAAGAAAAAACACATTCCAAACAACAAAACTTCCACTGATACATGTACTTTTTCCCAATGGGGCCCAGCTTGCACACTTTACCTCCTAACAGGTTGTTACAGGGCTTTGCAAGGGTCCTTCAGGGTGAAGGGAGAGGCGAGAATCTTGACTCCATGATCAGAAGGCTGGATTTATTATTTTATGATATATATGTTACATTATGACTGCTAATAGGAATAGAGAGAAAAGTTCAGAAGCTGCTAAGCTAAGAATAGAATAGGAATGAACAGCAACAGAGCTCTCTCTGATCTGTCCCAGAGAAAGCTTGGTCTTTGATTGGCCCTTAATTGTAAACATGGAACATGGGCCAATCCCAGATGCACCTGTTGCATTCCACAGCAGCAGATAACCAGTGTTTACATTTTTCTTCTGGGGCCTCAGCTTCCCAGAAGGAAAAATCCTAAAGAAAGGATTTTCCACAAAAGATGTCTGTGACAATAGGTGGTATCCCAGAATATGTAATTAGAGAACTGCAAGTTGAGACATTTGCACATCCCAACACATTTCCCACAGATATCCTGGTTACACCAGCATGGTGACACCAGCTCCTTGTGTGCCTGGATTGCTGGCCAGGTACTCACTCTCTCTCCGCACATCGGCGAGCGCCGCGTGCAGCTCCTCCTTGAACACAGCCGCTTCCTTGGCAATCTTCTCTCCCTTGTCCAGCAGGTTCCAAGTGGCCTCCTCCACTGAGGCAAGCAGGACACGAGCTCTTTTGGAACGGCCCTTCTTCTTACCAGAAGGATTCTGTGGACAGTTCACTAATGTTGTAACCTACATTTAAAAGAGACAATAATGGTTTAAGTTCTACAAGTGAATTTGTATTGTTATTAAAATAAAAAAATATATAATTATGAATAAGCAAAGAGATTCCCTCTGCTTTGGAGACAGACAGGCAAGCTCAGCATAAATACCAAGAATGGGCAAAAGTACTGAATTCAATCTAATGCAATTTTACTCAGTATGCATCATCTTTGTGTTCCCCCTTCTGTAGGATCAAAGCAAAGCTAACAGAAATGTCACTATTATGTTCTGTGAATCCTGATGCCAACTCCTGCCACTGCTTGTTTTAAAACCTGCTCATAATAAAACAAAGAAATACCAGTGCTATCTGAGGAGGCTTCAGCAAGGCAGGAATCATGGAACCATTAAGGCAGGAAAAGAGCTCCAAAGGCACCAAGTCCAGCTGTCAAGCTAACATTGCCAAGTGCACCCCTAAACCAGGTCCCAAAAACACTACACCCACGTGCTTTCTGCATGCTTCCAGGGAGGCTGAGTCCACCGTGTCCCTCAGCAGCCTGTTCCTGTTCCACCGCTGGACACGCCTTTCAGGGAAAGAATGTTTTGTTAACATCCAATCTAAACTGTCCTTGGTGCAACCTGCAGCCATTTCCTCTTCTCCCAGCACTCATTACCTGGGAGAAGGGACCACCCAGCCACAGCCAGAAGGGTCCCTGAGCCTCCTCTCCTCCAGGCTGAGCCCTCTCAGCTGCTGCTCCTTTCCCCAGCTCCTGGCCCTCCCCTGGACAGGCTCCAGCACCTCCATGTCCTTCCTGTCATGAGGGGCCCAAGACTGAGCACAGGGCTCAAGGTGTGGCCTCACCATTGCACAGTCACTGCCCTGGTCCTGCTGGCCACACCATTTCTGACCCAAGCCAGGCTCCCACTGGCCTCCTTGGCCAGCTGCTATCAGCCAGCACCCACAGGTTCTCCCTCCCCAGCAGTGCTGGGTGTTCCCATACCTCCAGTGTAAGGCTTGCAAGGTGTCCCAGAACAAACACCCAGAATGAGTACAAACACCTTTCACAAGGCTTTCTCTTCTCACCTGTGGCCAGAGCTCAATACCTCCACACTCTTCAGCGTGCTCCCAACATTAATATTACACATCAATTTGCCCAGAATTTATATTTACTGCAGCTTAGACCAAATTTTATTTTTACCAATGCACTTCAACACCCATAAAGAACTTGTTTTTATAGACCATCCCACTCCACATTCCTATTATCTGAATACAGCCTCCACACTCCAAGAGAATGTTTCTGAAAGACTATTCTCTAAGGCATTGCTTGAGCTGCCACACTAAGGAAAGACTCCAAAAACATTTTTCTTAAGTGCTGCACAGATATTTCAAAGCACACCTTATTTTCATAAAGCTCACTGATCCTTTTTAATGCTCCTGTTCCCTGAACACAGATAGTGTTCACATGCCTTAGCTCACCTTCAGATCCCATCCATGAATTCATGCACTTGAGTGCTTCTCATGAATCACTGCTTGTAAACACAACTGACAAACATCCTGTGGGTAACATTTCTATAAACACATCTACAAACACAAAAGCCCTGACCCCTGCACCATTCATGCAATTTAGGAGGGGAGAAGGACCATCCACTTGACATCAAGTGCTTTGGCATGCCACAAGGGAGAGAGCAACATAAATAACTCTGCCTCAGATTGTTAAAGAAGGCTTGGGTATTTTCCTGACTCTGGCTCAAAGGAAGAAAATGGAATTATTTATTGCACATAAATCAGCCAGCTGGTAGAGAATGCACTGGGAATAAAAATCTTTATCTTTTATTTTTACAAACACTTCAATGTCAGTTTTAGAACATTTAAGACAGTTTCAATGTCCATATTTTGAAGAATGAGTTACAGATTACAGGCTAATACTTCCAATAAGAAAGGCATAAAAAACCATCAAAAATTAGAAGTGGCCACAAAAAATCTATCAAATAGAAGGGTTTTTTTAAATTTTAAGTATTTAATCACTATTTCAGTAGAAAATAATGTACTCTACTTTGCAGAGTTTTACTGCAGTTTTTTTAATGTTAAATATCATTCTACATACTGTTCGTTAATATGTGGAGGAGGAAAGGAAATAAAACAAATGAAAAAGTATAAAAAAAATAATTATTCCTGCAGGTGAAAACTCTTGACTGTAAGACTCGGCATCTTCAGCATCACTCTCAGGAAATACAGGAGGTGGCAACTGATCTCAAATACAAGTCAAAACTTGTTAGATAGCTCTTTGCTCATGGAGATTAGGGAAAACAGAAAAACTACTCTGAATTCTCTAACACAGAACCCCAAGGAGGAATGTAAAAACTTTATACAATCCTACCCAGAAAGAACTGAAGCACAGACTAACACAGTGTGCCATTGTTACCCTGCACAGCACATCCCCAGCCCTGGGAGGAACAACACAGCTGTGCTAAAGGCACAAGGAGTCTCTAAGCCATTTTCTGGGCCATGTGCCTCCACATTGACAGGGCTGCATCGTGCCACTGCTGCCTGGTATTGCCATTGGTTATTAGGCTGAAGGGTGGGTATTTGGTTATGCCAAATACTAAGTTTCTAGGAAACTGCAGCAGTTCTTCCAATGCAATACTCAGTTACTGGCAGCACTTTGAGACAATCTCTCAATACTGCAGTAGTTCAGGAAGCAATGTCTTGATACCTTGAGTATCACAGTATTTGATTCACCTTTATTTTAATATAAAAAGTCTTTTTAAGCATCAATCATAAAACATTCTTTTTTGTTAACAATGTAGCTCAGTGTAACTCCATGTCAATCCCCAGACATTTAGGAAAACCAAGACATAACTCTGATCTAATGACAGCAGCAGAACCCCTGTCCACTGTTTCAAATCCAGTGAATTTGTATTATACACAAATAAACACTGGCTGATCCCACCCAGTGAGCAGAAGGTAAACTCAGCATATAGAACTAAACCAACAGTGTGTGCTTTCCCTGTGAGCCAACATCTGTGGTGTGGATGACAGATACAAGCCTTCCAACTTGCCTGGTTTTCATCAGTGATCCAAGGGACTCCAAAATGCAGGGATTTTCTACACACTGTGTCAGCTGAACCAAGCTAACTTTCACAAGTACCTTCTTTGGTGTGCCAGATGCACTGATTGAGAACTAGACTGAGAAGCCTTCCTTCCACAACTAACATCCTCCAAACAGCTGGAATACAACAAAGGCCACAGACAGGGGGAAACACCCAGGGCAATTTAGGGACAGTGTTTTATTCCAAGGAGAGAGAAGCTGCCAACTCAGAGAGGGTTTTACACAGAACAGCTGCTGTACTATTTTCAGAGTTTCACAGCAATCAGCACTGCCAATTCACATGGCAGGGAAGAGAGAGGGTCAATTCAGCAAGGGATCTGCAGCTATTTCCACCAGGACTTCCTAGGTGCCTGCCAGGCTGGCTCTGCCTCACTATTTTCCTGTATTGATGCTGTTCATCTAAGGACTGCCCTAACACTGAGCATACCTGGCTAGGACAGACTTCAGAGAACCTCAAGCACTTCCATTGTTTCTTTCCTGCCACAGCAGTACAAGACCATTAAATAAATAAATTACAACAGAATTCTCAAAATAAAGTTAAATTGCATTCCAAGCAGTAGTTGCTAAAGTGAATCTGGCAAGAGCATCATTTTATCTGTGACTGGTCTCTTTCTAATCACAGACTAATTTTCATTTATTATCTTTCCAGCCTTTCAATCACCTTTCATTAAGTATGAACTTTAATCCCTGTTCTTATACTTTTAACATTTTCTTTTGAAGGGTCCACTCACAACATAAGTTTTCTTTCCACAGGTATGAAACAAGCAAAGCATTAGGCTGAAGAGAGGGAAAAGACAGTCAAAATACTCTCTTAGAGCCAAAGCATTTCCAAGTGAACAGGCTCAAGCTTTTCAATGGTTGAGAAGAGCTGGGAGGGAAAAAACCACAAAGCTTAGATGGTTTCTTTGTTTTTTCAGGTTTCTTTGATCCTGCCAAACTCAAACCAAAATTTACTTTTCTTTACCCCTCTAAGAACACCCACAGTGCTGCAGCTGCCTCAGCACAGTCTGACCTACAGGTCTATAGGAGGTTTTTAAATTCAGTCTATCAAGACATCTATTCTTACTGCTTTGAAATTAATTTTGTAACCATCCACATATCCTCAACAACTTCCACAAATCACTGACCTGTTAACTGAGGGTTTTCACACTATCAATCACATCCAGGCAAAAATAAATAAATAAAGGCAGACAAAATGAGAGACAGGCAGCTCAGTTAATAGTAGCTGGAAATAAAGTCATGATAGAAAAGAAAAGGTCACTTTCTGAGGAAAGTAACCTTCCAGACAGGAAAAATGAGCAAGGGAAGAAAAGACCAAAAAGAAATTTGGGAGAGGCAAAGCTTCAAAGGGGAAAATACAACTTTATTTTTAAAGAATTACTTACTTCACACATTGGAATTCCATTTGCAGTGTATTCTACATTTAAGCATCTCCAGGGTAACACTGTGCAAGAGACCAGCTAGAACATGCAGCATCTCCTAGGACAGACTGGAGGGCAAAGTTGGAAGTGACCAAATGAATGCCCAAACCTGGAAGGCGGAGCCCTGGGGAGCTCCTGAGCCAAGTGCAAGTGCAGAAGAGCTGTGGGTGTGGCTTTCAGGATAATGTCTTCAGTCAAAAGTTCTTCAGCCTTTATTCCCCTCCCTCTATGGTTATCCAGATTATTTCTGCAACTCTAAAATACCTGAATTATCAGTGGTTCCAGTAATTTCTCCACTGTGAATGTCTGGATCTGCAGATTCCGAGGATCAATTTTCAGTTTAATGTTGGGCACTTTTGTTGACATTTCACCTGGGTACAAAACAAGAGAAGTGCAATAAGCCAATATTAACCATGAATACAAGCCTCACTGCCTTCTGTCAGAGCCCAGAGACCAACTATGTGAGTATAAACTTGCTTCATAACAGAGTCTGATCTCAAGAAATACAATTAACTTTCCCAATTCCCCATTTCTAAACCGTTAAAAAAATACACTGATACTTACCTAATCTGTAAAAATCATAGACTTAAAGTACATATAACTCCTTATGTTCACTCACAGATTAACTGACCACATGTTAAAAAAAATACAAAGATAATTCAATTAGAATACCATTAAATAAAATCTTCTACTAGTCCAGAAAGCATCTTTAAAGCAAAAACACTAAATTCCATTACTGAATTTATCACAAAACAAAAACATTAATGCCATGTGCACAATATGTTATCTTATTCCACGTGCCAAATTACAGGGGTTATATAATAAGCACCTTAAGAAGAAAAAGCATATACAGCAGTCTTGAAAATTTCTGGAAATTAACAGCAGAGAAAGGGAAACATTTTGTTATTTAATACCCTGCAAGAACAAATATTTTCTAAGTGTCAAGACAGATTAAGTTGAGAAAGCCTATTACTGAAGTCAATAAGATGGAAGTAAAGCCAAGTAAGGTCTTTAAAGTGAATAAATCATTCATTAGGAACTTGATGCAGAATCTACTGATGTGAATTAATAGTTTCCACCAGGTTCACTGGGCCATGGCTCAGGCCATTAGCCTGAAATGTGTGTGTGTCAACAAAGAATTACAACTGCTTTAGTTGGATTGCAACCCATTATTGTCCCAAAATAAAAGACACTTTAGATTTTGCAGTAACTCAACTTCTTACAAAACACAGCTTGGCAAAGCCTTTTTAGCCAATAAAGACTTCAAATACACAAAAAATGGATATCTGTCCTTTTTAAGCAAGACTTACTCCAACCACTGCTGCTGTATAATGAAGTAATGAGGTACTGCAAGTGTGCAGGCTGAAGAGATATATTGCCACCTTCCAGTGAACCTAGCACTGATTTAATAAAACACAGTATGGGTTATAAAATAAATAAAACACGTTCTGGGTTCCTGCAGCAAGGGGTGTAGAAATGGATCTGGAGAGTTATCCACATTTCAGCTACAAGCAAAGATAATATGAGCAATAATTAAAGAATTATGGTATAAAGCAAATTAGCGTTTTGCCATTCTCATTAAAGGTTACAGAAGTGGCAACTTTTTCTTTAATTACTTTAAATACTTAAAAACTATACTTGTGGCAGGGCTAAGCTCCCACAAACTCAGCTGCACCCAGGCAGGCAATAGCATATGGAATGAACTGATTTTTCAGTTTTAATTCTGAGCCAAAAAACAAAGAAACCTGAGATAAGACTGACCAGAAAAAAACACTTATCCTTCCACAGATATGAATGGAACGAGAACTCTAGAAAGCAAATTAACTGCCCATATTTTACACATTTAACATTTAGATACTTTCACAAAGAAGCTCCTGAGCTGGTTTCCCTGTGTCCACCCCGTACCCAAAAACCTTTTAATTCAACAAGATCCTGTCCTCCAGCTTCACTGGGATTGCATCACACCACACCATTCCACACTCTGGGTAAGGTACATCCTTTTCTGCCACCTGTAATCCACTGGTTTTCTAAATCTTTGGCCAATATTTCAATGAATCTGCTTTTTATTCACATTAGGCAAAATAATAAATCTTTATGGTGTTGGTTACCAACCCTCATCTTCGATATTTTCACAAGTCTCCCAAAATATGGGCACAGACTGAAATCCATCACAAGAGCAGCAAACAGATGGCAGGGATCCACAGTGCTGAAATCCATCACAAGAGCTGCAAACAGATGGCAGGGATCCACAGTGCTGTGCATTTTTTTCTGCTCAGACACACATCAGGGACAAGGGGACAGGTAAAGGATGGGAGCTGCCCTAAAGAAGCCACGAGCTGACTCAGGTTATTTTTCTGCAGATACACTCACACTTTAAACCCTGCAGTGGCTTCCCCACAATTCCTTCATTTTTTATCAAGGGTGTCAGCACCTGCTTTACTCAAAATGGAGAAATTCAACTTTTCTGCTGCTTGCTCTCCATTCTCACAGCACTATCTCCTCTGCTACATGCTATCTACAATCATCAAGTCTCTTTTCTAAATTTTGGCACATAAATATGTATGGTAATTAAAGTCAATTCCTGTTACTGAAGGACTACAGTGCTCCAGAATCCCACCACAGACACTCCCAAACTTGGAAAGTATTACCAATCCAACCCCATCTTTGCAGGTCAGAAGAAATGTGAATCCATGTGTCATGGCTTTCCCTACTCTGGGCTGTTCTGAGGTTTTTGCTTGTTTGTTTGTTCCTTGCCCTTAGCACACTGTCCAACATCAGCACTTTTATCCTTTGCTTGAGTCCTGAGCTCAAAAGGCAGTTAAGCCAATAACAGCTTTCAGCCTTGAGTTGGGCCCAGAACGAGCCATCAGCTGAAAGTCAATCGCAAAAACTATTGTCTCTGAAAATTTCAATTATATTCTAAGATATAAATAACCCACTTAAGGGCTCACTTGCTGATTCCAGCAGTATTTTTAGGTAAAATTCGAATGCTTCCTGAAACTTCCTTTTGTTTCTAAAAAGACAGAAACAGTTTTGCAAGTCAATGCAGCGAAAACCACAACATCTTAAATTATTTTGATAATCTGACTACATATTTTTAGCTTACCAGGCTCTCCTTGCTGTTATATACCATATAGGCTAATCAATATTTCAATTGGGTTCTTTAATTATTTCTTTTTAACTAAGGATAAGAGGTGATAGAAAGAAAAATAAACAGCCAGTAAAGATCATCCTGGGATTTTCTCTGGCATTTCCACTTACTAAGTGAACCTCTGTCCTTCTACATCATACTCATTAAGATGGCAAAACCTGATGTTTGCCTCAGGAAAAAAGTGCAAATCAACATTCCACCTTTTTTTTTTTTAATGCATTTGTACTGCAGCACAACATCCCCCTGAGTACAGCAGGGGCCCTGCCTGAGATATTTTGGTAGAAGGCTGAATAACCTCACACTCAGTCAGATTAACCTCTCCAGGAGGCAATCTCAGCCCTGCACACCAGCAGCTCTCACAACACTCAGGATGTTAAGCACGTGTTACAAGACACAGCTGTGCCCCAGAACAGCCAGAAAACCAGCACACTCCTACCACATGCTACCAACCTCAGGATCATGGAAATTCTGTCTTTTCATCAGATGTCAGAACTATGGAGTCTGTTGGTGTAGTAAGAAAAAGACCCTGGAAAAAGAGCCAAAGTCTATATCCCTCCAATGCAACGAGAACACAGCACCTGCAGCTTTTTTTAGAATCTGTAAGTACACTGTACACAGACAGAAAGAACCAAGTGTCAGAAAGCAGAGCCAAAGCCATTCTGCATAAATTAGAAGCCCTGTACTTTAGAATCCATTTGCTGCCAGATTGTTAGAAAGCCAACAGTGCATCATCACTCACCTATGCTAGCAAACATATGGTCCAAAAGCAGCACTAAAGCACTGTCTATGTAATTTCCTTGTGCTAGGGACTCCAGTGGCAGTGCCCCGGCTGCCTACGGGCTCCTGAGGCATCTGCAGGCACTGCCTGACAGGCTCCCAGTGTATTTCAGGGTGACTGACAGCACACAGGCTGGCAGGGGGATGGGCATCCTTAAAGCTGAACACTGGAGCACGAGCCTGGCAACAAAGGTCAGGGCTGAAAAGGTTTTCAACAATTAGATGGCACAAGGCATGAAATTACTTACACTTGCAGTGATTGTTCTTGGAATTTCCAGCACAGAACCGTTGTGCCATGCATTCTGACTGACGCGTGCCAGCTTCAGTGTGGAGGCAGTGACTCACTCTCAGCCTCCTGAACTGGACAGCAAAGGGATTCACAAAGCTCTCACCCAGGGACTTGGCACCAAATTTGTTTTCTCTGTTGTTTTTTTTCTATTGTATGGTGCCCTACAATGACACACAATCTATTATCCTAGCAGCTTCAGAAAACGCAAAGGCCTATTGCCTTCTAAAGAATGAAGAAAAGTTAAAGTAGTCAGGATTTGTATATATATATAGATATAGATATACACAAATATATATCTATATATATATTTGTATATATATCTAGATATAGATATATATAGATATATACTTGTAGATATATCTATATCTATATATATAGATATAGATATATAGATATATATACAAATGTATATCTATATATATATAGAGAGGGCACCTGAGGATTCCCAAGATATGAAACATTGCTGAGAATATGTAACAGAATTTTTTTATTATTTGTTCTTAATTTCAGTATTTCCTATACAGCTTTATTAGTTGTTACCAACAGCCCTCTGGGAATAAAACTTGTCAGCCTTTTTGCTGCAGTCAGTACAGCAAGTGCAAATCAGACTCCATGGAAGCCACAAAAAAACAATTACTGCATTTTCCTTTCATTCTCTAGCTGACACACAAAATAAGACGCTCAGGATGCTAAAATCTTCTAGCTCAGGCAAAGAGAAGTCCAGGCTGCTGTACTCTGCAGGCCAGAGCATGCTCTGGAGTGGAGCAGTGTCTCTGACACCTGGCCCATCTAACACCAGGTAAAGTCTATAAAGCACCTGCTAAATTATTGAAATCTCCACACAAAGCTGACAGCCTACTCCATAACCCTCTCAGCTTTCATCATTTCTTACCACTAGCCACAAGAAACATTATTAAGGCACAGACACCAAAAAGGGGAGCTGGAAAAGGTGGCAAGATTCAGATCCATTAATAACATTTATTCACTGAAAGCCCCTTTATTTAAACAGGCTTTGCATTTAGGTGTAGGTTGGCAATGAAGTAACTGGAAGATTTTTTTTAATCTTAGCCCCAAAAATTAAAACCAGAAAAACACAGCACTTCTTTTTGCATTTCCTTTCAATTCTGCCTGTGTTTACTATCTCCCTAG